TATATCTAATACCTAAATAAGTCTCAACTACTTTTAATATTTCAAAAAAATTTTACTTACTTATTGATCAAAATGTAAACTATAAATATTTAAGCTTAAATTATTATTATAATAAAATTCTATAAGAATAGTTTTGACTAATTAATTTTTTGTTTTATAGCTAATTTGATATTTTTATTATAATAAATACTTTCTAATTTTGTTTAAATAGACCTTTTGTGTAGATATTTGATTTTTTATAAATATCATACAGTTTAATTTTTAGATTCATTAAATGAATTTTTAATATCATAACTTTCTAAATATATTATATTATAAATTATTATTTATATTAATACTTTTTTAAATTTAATAATCTATGGATTTTATTATAATTTTCTAAAAATTCTTTACTACTTCTGTAACATTTATTAATCATCATTTTAGTTTTTCATTTTGGCATTCTTTTTATATTACTATATACTCTTAATATAAAATCCATAGTTTATTAGATATTTAAAAAAAGTTTTACAAAGTAAGATATATATTGTGATCTCAATGATATATTGTTTTTTTGTTTGATCTAGTTTTCTTACCTGTTAGTACTTATTGATCTACTATTCATTACTTTATGTTGGACCATTAAAACCATGTCTTATTCAGATTCTGCAAAATTTTCCTTAGGGATTCTTAGGTTCTGAAGCCTGATTGATAATAATGTTGAAGTTAATACTAGAAGCATACTTATTTGTGTGTTGTTTTCGAATTCCTTTTAATTTTTAGTAGTTAGCTCTCATGAATCGTACGGAAGATAGTATCAAAAATCCATTGTTCAGAATTTTCGATCGATAAGTCGCGCTCTTCTCAAGAAATACATTAATGTCTAGCAGACATCAATGCTGATGTTTTCATTCCTCTATTTATTTAATACTTCGCCGTATAAAGAGACTTGATCTATCACGAAATGACGTCAAGTGGGTAGGTTTTCTCCTAAACCCGGGTCTAGGTATAAGTGAAAATCCTAAATTTTCGGGATAAAATATTTTTTCAATGGTTTATTTATCAAAAGTACTTAGTGAAAAAATGAGATTATATTTTATTTGTGATTTAAACATATTTACAAAATACGCCAATTGTTCACTTAAGAAAACGAATACGTTAATTTTTAAAAATAAAATTAGTAAATTAAAATAAAGAAATTCAAAATTGTGAAGAAAAGAAAAGATAATAAAATAAAAATAAAAATGTTTAAAAGCCTCTACGAGCTTTTCTTGAAGACATATTTTTTTCATCTTCATCGGAAGAGTACCTCCTTCTTTTTGATTTTTCTTCCCGTGAATATAAAATCCTCTGCTTCTCAGCATACTCCTGAAGACGCTCATTTCTAATCCTGTCCTCTTCCACGGCCCTTTTACGTCTTTCGTCTTCTAAAGCTGCTTCCTCAGCGGCCTTTTGTTCTTCTACAAGTCGTTCCTCTTCATCGATCTTTTCTCTCTCTTTTCTTTCAACCTCCTTTTGTTCTTCCATTATCTCAAGCTCCTTCTTCTTTTTATCGAAGCTTTGAAAAATCGATTTTCCGAAGGCAACGCGATGCTTTACTAACTCACGATCGAACATCAATTTCTTATATTCGTCTTTAAGTATCTCCTCAAATGTCTTTGTAGACCATTGAGTCCAATCCATCACTTTCTTTAATTCCATTAATGAAATATTTGGGGACGTTGCGGTTGTCGAATTTGTATTTGTTGAAGTTGTTGAAGCAGTCGGAGCTGCTTTTGATTGGCCTCCCTTGATCCTTTCGCTAATCAATTGGGCACGGGTTTGTTGGAGCAAAGCAAGGTTATGGAGCGCAATTTTATGATCTGGTTTCAGCCTGAGTGCTCTCTGAGTCCAATCTAAAGCTGTCTCTAATGATTCAAGGTTCTTTCGTTCTTTTCCGGTTATGTAATAAACTCTTGCGATCCATTCCATTATTTGATGATCTCTATGTTGATACTTTTTAGAAGCCACTTCGTAGAAACGTATTGCGTTTCCATAATCGCCTAAAAGGGCACAAGTATGTGCGTAATTAATATTGAATTCAGGCTTTGGACAATTTTGTAATATTTTCCAGAAACCCTCATTTGCTTCTTGCATTCTTCCGGTTTCTGCCAATGCCACGGTAATACAATTAGCTGCCCATATATTTTTCGAGTTCAAATTTAAAGCTTTTTGGAATAATTCTACAGATCTTTTGTAATAGACTTCCCTCTGTGATTTTTCTTGCTCCTGTTTGAGTTGACGTCCCTTAATAAGGTAGAGGCTACCTAATGCTGTCATGGCTACTAAATCATTTTTATCCGCCAAAGTATGCAAAAGGTTTCTAGGACTATGATAATCGCCACGCCTTAATTGATATAGTGCTTGAATTTTTTTGACTTCCACATTGTCTTCATCGAGGTCTAAAACTTCATGGATAATTTCATCGACTTTTCCATGATGCTTAAGCTTTTCCTCAATCGCAGCCAAGCGTAATCGTGCCAAAACAAATTCGGGACCATGATCTATAATGTATTTATAGATTTTTCTCGCTTGCTCTGTATTGTGAGCGGCCTCATGGGCTCGTCCTAAATTATAATACACTGCAAGTCCGCGATATCCTCCCTTCGACGGCAATTTCCTGACAATTTCTAATGCTTCACTATAATGTTCAATCGCTTCGGTATGATATTTAGCTTTAAAGGCCATATTTCCCATTCTATTAAGAAGTTCGAATGGAACTGGCCTATGAAGGCGTTCATATAATTCCTTTGCCTTTTTTAATGATGCAAGCGCTTTAACTGGATTTTTCCTTTGCTCGAAGAACCAAGCCTTTACGGTTGAAATGTCAGGATTTTTATATTTATCCTCTACAAAAGCTTTTGAGATTCTATCAAAATCCGTTAATGCCTTTTGCTTAACTGATTGATCCGAATCATTAAAGCCAATGTGAGCGTTCAACACGCATAAAACTGTGGTAACATCCATATTTTTGATATTTAGGTGCCATAGCTTCTCGAATTCAGCTTTTGCCTCATCGTAGTAACCATTATGAATTAACATCTGTCCGTACCCATAACGAGCTGAAGTATGATTTTCATTAATGTCTATAGCATGATAATAATGATAAAAGGCTTTATCAAAATCTTCCATGAAATGAAAAGCTCTTGCTAATTGATAATGCGTTTCGGATTGCATAAATCGGGAATCCGCATATTTCTCAGCGCGTCTTAACGCTTCAAGTGCGAAATCCATCTCTTCTCGAAGGTAATACCCATGTGCCATAAGAATCAAAGCACTTGATTTAGTTGGATCGATATCAAGGGCCAACTCCACACGTTCCATGGCAGAACAATAATTAGCTAACCTTTCTTCATCAGGTATATCTTCATAGGGATCAAGTTGCTTTGAAATGTCAAATTCGATAGTGGCAAGAAGGATATTAGCTGGTACACTACTTGGATTCATTACAACGGCCCTATCAAAGGCCTGAACAGCTTCATCGAACCGATTCAATTTGTTGAAACAAAGACCAATTCCGATGCGAGGATCAGGATGAGTCATAAAAGGGTTTAATCTAGCAATTCTCTGATATGTGGCAAGGGCATCCTTGAATGTTTTTTGAGAATATTGTATACGAGCCAAACCGAAAAGAGCCGGTATAAAATTTGGGGAAACTCTTAAAGCATTGGTGAATTCACGGTGCGCTTGCACCGGATCTTTCTTTGCAAGGTATATAAGACCTTTACCCACCAAAGAAACTTGATTATGAGGATTTAATTGGGAAGCTTCGTTGAATTTCTCAGTAGCTTGAATCAAAAAATGATTTTTTTGGTCAACATCTGCTTGATACTTTGGTGCCTTGTACATTTTAAAGTAAATGCTCGCGAGTAAGTTCAAACATTTACAACGATCTTCTGATGATCCGGGTGACATAAGACCTCTTTCTAAAATACTAACGGCTTCTTCAGGAGAATCACGCTTTACGTTATAAAAAAGTGCAAAATGAATCCAGTATTTCATGTCAGTGACTTCATTGCCAAACATATTAAGAGTTTCTCTCGCAGTTCCAAGTTGATCACAATCAATTTCAACAGTTTGGTTTGAAGTTGGAAGAGGAATTTCAACAACTTTTTGAATAGATCCAACATTCATCTTTATAATGTTGACGTGAAAATAGAAAAATTTATTACAAAGTGAAGGAAATTTTTAAGTTGGTGGAAGAAAAGAAAATAAATAGTGTAAAATATATATTCCGAGTTGATTTTTTTAAAATGGTAGTTTTTAGTGTAACATCACAAAATGTCGATCACCAAATCGTGTTGTATTCTAGAAAAAAAAAAAGATCATTAAATTTAATAAATGATTGCTAGGAAAATCCTACTTTGTGCATTAAAAAAAATAAATCCCGATGTTGTCACGTGAACTTTTACATATATATAAACCGGGATGTATATACATCTTTTAACTAGCTAAATATAACAATATGTATTTGTTAATACTCAACATTCATTTCTTAAATGATATAACATTAAATTCTTTTATTTTGTTTTTGTCACTTTAAATCGGTCATTATTTAAAAAATTTAGATTCCACAAATAATAATCTATCATCATTAAAACTTCAAAACGCGAATAGGAATTATTTATCAAATAAGCGTTCATAATTAAAAAAGTGGCCAGATACGCAATATTTAGCATACTTAGTTGTTGATGTGAATCGAAATAATTAACCCTCTCAGACTGGAAAGAAGATTATAAATGAAGTTTTCGAGATTAACAATTTAATTATGTCATACATTAACCATTCAATAAGAGGTAGGATAAAAAGCAATACGAAGTGTGAATATCATAACATCATCTCAGTACGATATATTTAGTCAAATATTATTAACCCAATAATATGTGATACAACAAACTACCCTATTTATTCCATTTATCTCAGTTAGACCATTATCTCCTACTACATTATCTAATAATGTATTAGCCATAGTAATTATTATATCATTTAACTTGTGGTTTGCTTCCATTATTTGCATTGTACCAATATATTGACTTTCCAACATCCTCATACAAACTCGGATTGGTCGCAGGACCTAAAGAAAACCCAAAGGTTAGCAACCCACCGAGGAATGCTAATATTATAGCTAAAGATAAAAAAAAAAAAATCTTAATATCGTTTAATTGATCATTAATCAAATTTAAGTATAAATATTTGAATTATCATCTAACCTTTTTTAACTTTTTTTGGATATGCTGCCATATTAAAAACTGGAAATCCCATTACATTACCAAATATATGAGCAAAAAATGGTGGAATAAAATGACCTTTATAAAGAAGTTTTGAAATTAATTATGGATTTCTTAATATAAATAGGAAACATCAAATAAGTAGATCTTACCGGTTCTCATAAACAAAAACGTGGCATACCACCCAAACAATGTCGTATAGAAGAATTGAAATACTTTAGAAATGAATTAAATCAATTGAACGGGTTAATGATTTCTATGATTAATATGAACGATAAATAAATAAATATATATTACTTGAAGCAAATATTGCAAATTTTGCTGTTGCCATAGTCCTTCCATTAGTGACATAAACCTCCCAAGCATGATGTATATGTGCTTTCTCGCGATAAGGAAAGGGATATAAAACGTTTAAATGTTAATAAAAAAATTGAAATCTTGAGAAAATCTATCAAGAAAACTTACCTATTCCAAATACCAAAGGCGATAAAAATATGATTTGAATCCGAGAAAAATCTGCCAAAGCGAGTAAAGGAACCATGCAACATCTAAATACAAATTCTTCAGTCATTGGAGCCTTTGAAAAAAATAAAATAAAAAGTTTAAGCATGAAATAAATTAAAGTTGATGAAAAAAAAAGATGTAACATACGAAGATTAGATTCCTGAATCCGATCAAAGATGTAATATAATTAAAAAAATCGTATCGCCAATTAAATTTGGCCTGAAAAGGTAATTCTTTATCCAAAAATTTAACAAATAAAGGACCAATAAATAATGACATTGTTAGACCTAAAGGAATAAAAAATGTGTTTAATATGTGGTATGGATGGGTTGGCAGTGAGAATCCAAGTAGTACCAAAGTTGTATATATCTCTGATAAGATTGTCTATTGAAATGGTTTTTTATTAAAAAAAGAAACATTGTTTAAATTCGAGCTTGTAAATAAAAAGAAATAAATATAAATCTAAAAAATTTTATCTACCATTGATTCTTTAAATCCTCCACTAAAATGAATTAAAAGCCAAACTCCAATGAATGAAATTATACAAGTGGTAAAAACACTTATCACACGATTCATGATAACATGAGGGTGATCTTTTGTTAATCGAGGATTATTGCCACCAATTCTCGTTTTCTTTGAAAAATATAAGCCTCCGACGAAACATAAGGTAAAAAATATACAACTAAAAATTGCGTGTGAAGGTGATATGATAGGACCGATACTGAATTTTATAAGATCAAGATTAACTCCCATGTTTAAAGATTAAGTAATGATGAACGATTAAGTGTTATTTTACAAAAAAAAAAAAAAAAAAAAAAAAAAAAAAAAAAAAAAAAAAAAAAAAAAAAAAAAAAGAGAAAAAAAAAAAAAAAAAAAAAAAAAAAAAAAAAAAAAAAAAAAAAAAAAAAAAAAAAAAAAAAAAAAAAAAAAAAAATAGGGATAAAAAAAAAATGAAACAAAAAACGAATTTGTTCGATTATTTAGAAACTATGGTATCACCAACAAAATTTTCGCAATAAATTAAGGCACGTGAAAATTAACTAATTTTGTGCACATGACTGTAATCAAAGTGGACCAATAAAAAAATTCACCTTATTAAATTATACATGGTTAAAAAAATAATGATACGTATGACAAAATTATCAATGAAATAATTATAATTATTATACAATAATAATAAGGTTTGGATTTGAGATTTTTGTGTAATCTTCGGGGTCCTGCCGGGGACTGTCATCTATGGACCCGTAACTGTCAAGGACCAGACCATGATCAACAAAGGTTGCTGGCAAAAGCAATTTGGTGGCCTGACAGAAAAGATTCAGAAACGAGTTTCTAACATAATAAATTCGTAACTTCTTTTCTGGGGTGTGAGGCTTAAATACTTGTACTTTGTTTCTTTGAATTTGGATTAAACGTACCCAATGAGGGATTTTCATTTAAGAAAAAAAAACAAGTTTATTTGTTATTCAAAAATTATTTCATTGTTTGAATTATTAACAATACATATGGCGTAAAAAAACATTCTTTTTTTATTCAAATATCACGAAATTCTGCTTCAACAATCGGAGGCTTTTGCTGATCTACAGGAATATAAATGATTTCTCTAGTATTTGGAAAATACATTTCAATATTCTTTACCATGATATCATCATCACGCTTTGAGATCCCTTCAACCTTTACGAGAGCCTTCACATCATTATGAAAACCAAAATATTCAATACTAAAAATAGTTTCTTTTTGTCCTGTTGATCCAAATACGACAGATTTAGAAGTAATCGAATGTGGATTCGAAAATCTAAAATCATAACTTAAATGAGCCGATTTAATTTGATCTATGGATTTATAATATAATTTATCGATATTTGATCGTGTATTTGTCAATGATGTTGGAATGAAACTGGAAAATTGATGTCTTCTGATATCAATGGTTGGAATTAAGTTATCCAGTAATCTTCTTAGTAATTTATAAGTGCCAAATGCAACTGCCCCATTTATTATAAAAATAAATATTGGTTTGAAAAAGAAAAATGTTAATGCCGCCCCGCTAAATGCAATCATTTGTTTTAACACCCTTATGGGTGGTTTATAATGCCTTAAAGGTGAATAGGATGATTCTGAACGAGCATATGAAAATGCATAGGGACGATGAAAAAGAGATCGAGATTTATCTTGATAAAGTAATTGAGGGGTGAAGGGTGTTTTATTGCCGAATCGATGACGAATTGTTGATGATGGTCGAAAGGAGCAATGGTTTGCGCGAAAAATTTGTTCTAAAGAAAGTAAACTAGTGAAAAAAAAAACAAATTCCATCAAACTTTAATATGTTTAAAAGAAATAAATACCATATTTTCTCAATGGAAATAACCGTGGACTTTTATGAGTTAACAATCTAAAGTTCATGATTTCTTTTGAAAGAATAAAACTTGGTTGAATTTTTGATTATCGAATATAATCAATCATATCCTTAAATTCACGTGATTTTCATACTCGTCATTTGTTCAAGTGTTCAGGTATTTTCTATTTATAGTTTATTAAGACATTCTTTTTATTGACATAATGGATTTCTTGGCACATTTACAAATTATGTATATATATATATATTAGTCCAACAGTCTCTTTTTTTTTTTTTTTTTTCATTCCTTATATTGAGCTTTAAAAGCTTCGAAAATAAAATAAAATTCTGTTAGACCTCCATTAATACCACAACTCTTTTTTTTAAAAAAATTGTTTGCTTTTCACAAATTTCAAATTTAAAGAGTCAGGTTTTGATAATCTGACGATCCGGTAACTTGTAATTATAAATAAACGAACGCACGCACATATATTTCTATATATTCTTAGAATAACATTTATTTTTTTTTTAATAGTTATTTTTAAGCTCTTATTTATTGTATATAACATTTCAACATCATCGTATCAAATAAAAAAAAAAAAACAAATAATAATAATAAGGTGAAACAAAAAACATTCTATGTAAGCTAATTTAAATTTTATTTTATTTATTTATTTATTTTCAAGTCATGATAGTTTCATTATTAACATTTTTCATTTATTAATGATGTATTTCGTACAATCAGCTAGCGATTGATAAATGACAGTTCAATCGCGTGTATTCCAAACATCAGAAGAATATTTAAACAGATTAACCACTCGCAATAATTATCGAACAAATCTTGATTTAATTGAAGGCGGCAATATGATGCCGTCAACAACGTCAATTCGTGGCAAACCAGATTATTTTTCAAGATCCAATCATCTTCACGAATTACCTCGATTTAATAGGGGAGCGAATTTTGAAAGTAATTTTAATATACAAAATGCCATATTGCGAAGAGAGAAAATCATTCGTCGCGGGTTATCCTTGATCATTTTGGCCATGACAGTGGTTTTCATGATATATGTTTGGTTCTCCCCAATTGAACAATATCCAAATAATAATAACAATAATAATTTTTATACTTCACACTCACCTTCATCAAATTGGCCTATAATACCTTCTTCATCTTCAAGTGAAGAAATTCACCTTTATCGTATCCTTGGGAATGATCTTCCTCCTAGGCATAAAGCCGGTCAAGTCTTACAGAATGTGAGATTTATCTTAGAACATGAACCAAAATTTCCTAATACAAAAAAATGGTGGATTTTAAATCGTATAATTGACAATGAGTACGAAAATGCCTTAATAGATTTATTAAAAATGTACGATCAGGATTATGTTAGAATACCTTTTATAACTGAAGAATATTTGAAGTTTGATTTTAGACTTGAAGATTTTCCTGAATCTGATTTTTTTCATTCATATGAATACATGAACTTTTCCAAAGTCGCTAAATTAAGAACCATCGATTATGCTTATCATGATAAAAATATATATGCCATGAATAATAACGGAGGTAGAAATGCAGCATTAGCACACGGAAAATCACAACCCAATACACGTTGGATATTCCCATTTGATGGAAATTGTTACTTAACGACGAACGCATTCTCAGAAATTATATCACAAATTGAACAATGGGGAAAAGATTATAAATATTTTGTAGTACCGATGGCTAGATTATTGAATAATACTCAATTATTGATCGGTCCCGATATTAGACCTCAAACTCCTGAAGAACCACAAATTATATTCCGTCATGACGCCGAAGAAAAGTATAATGAAAATATGAGATATGGTCGAAGATCAAAACTGGAAATGTTATGGAGATTAGGCGTACCATCTCCGCGAAAGATGTTAAATAAACCTCCGGTACCATGGGAATCTCATGATGCGCCATATTTCTCTCCTCCCAAGAATAAATATAAAATGATAGGCTGGGTATTTCGATTATTTTCGGGTCAAGCATCACAAGAATTACATAAAAGGGAGGCTAGCGCGTTGAGAGCTTTTAATAGATTGTTGGCCATTCAAGATTTTTTGGATGGGATTGATGAGAAGATCGCGAGAAATGTACAAGGTTTTGATCCCAGTCGTTTATTCTTGTACGATGAGAAAGCGTTAAATCAAGCAAGGTTACAATATTGGGGAGGTGATGAGGAGATCGCAAAAGTTGTCGAGTTCATGTTAGATAGAGCGGACACAATGAGTTTATCAGCTGCCGATTGGTATTCTACTTCTAATGGTTTACCAGTTGATACAAGTACTCAAGTAAAATTCTTACAGCTAAAAACCGACACTTCTCCGGCTTTATTGGAAGTTGGAAAAAGCGAAGTAATTGATCAACAACATAAGAAAGATGGTGAGAAAGTACAAATTAAATCAGATGATTCTGCTTCGATTGAACAAGATGTGATGTTGGACGAAGAACTACATTCTGTTTTAACTTCAATTGATACTAATACCGAGAATGGAATCGAATCACAACGATCAAGTAATTCAAAAGATTCGAATATTCCTAATTCCAATGAGGCAACATTGTCTGAAGAGAAAAAAATTGAAAAATATGTCGGAATAGTTGAAGATGAATTTGGTCAATATACTTCAACGACGCCAGTTCGATTACCGGAGGTTTCAACATCAGAACTATTTGAAAATATAACAACGTTGGCATTTGCACATCATTTTTCAGGGAATGTTCTTTACTCTCGTTGGGCAGCAAACTTAATTCGTACATTTTTATTGTCCTCATATGGAGTCGGTGAACAAGATGAAGTGCAAGTCACGGCGTATAATACAGACTTTGACGCTATTAATGATGAAGGTTATAATTTTCCAAATCTTAATAAGATACCGAGAGCCGTACCGAGATTTAATAAAATAGGTTCAACGTTTCCAAAAGATCTTTTAGAGACGGATCCAAGTTTCTTTTTAGATTCTTGTAGGTTACTTTATCGCGTTAGAGCTCTCACACATAAAGAATTCACCGAATTAAGACGATTTGCTTCGATTTGGTTAGAAAAATTGATAAATAGTCCTGAAGGGATTGAAAGGTCAAGAAAACCCGATCATAGGGGTACTTTATATGATTTACAAGTAACTTCCTTAGCTGGCTTTGTTGATGATGTAAGATTATATTTGAGGATTGTTAATAGGATGAGGATGAGGATCGGCAAACACTTTTATATCGCGAATGATGCATCGTTATCTTCTCAGATGACTCAACCTTATGAGATCATGTTTGTCAAGAATTTAATCGACGAGGGAAAAATCTCACCAACACATTACGATAGTGCTACCTTCAAATTCACAACATTAAATTTACAATATTGGATGATATTAACACGTCTGGTACAAAATGTAGGGGTTGGTTTGGATTTATGGCAATATACCTCAAAGGACGGTCAAAGGTTAAGTAGAGCAATGATGGGACATTTAGGCAAACATGCTAAACGATTAGATGATTTTTCATTAAGAACGTTAATACATGTAGCCCAAGCTGCTCATCAAGCGAGTGATACTAGAAGAGGGATTTGGCATGAACATGGTGATGAGCATGATTATTTTCAACATTTCTTAAAAAATATAGGCGGTAAAATGAAATTAATCGATGATGATTCTATAAGTGATGATGAGATTATGGAAAGGAAAAGAATAGATAAATCTGTTGGGTTGGGTAATAGAGCTAGGCAAAGAGGCATACCTCCATTTTGGATGTTTGGTGTGGCATGAAGAAATTAAAAATAGAAGTATTATTATATGACTTAATATTATTTTTTTTTTCTCGATAAGAGTATATCATCTATTTTTGTTGTACTTTTTTATTTTAATTTTATTTTATTTATTTATTTTTTTTTTTTTTTTGCTTAGACAGCTTTTAAAAACATGATACATTCTCTGTTTCATTATTTACTTTTTATTTTTAAAACGGTGAACTTTATTTCATCGAACCGGGATGAAATTTGAGATTTCTCGCCCAATCTAATAATTAAAGTTAAAACGGCATTCAAAGACATTCTTAAGGCATGCGCATTCAAAAAAAAATATATATAAATATTTAGAATGTTTTATTATACATTTTTAGAAATTATTTCTATTTATAAATTTTTAGGTTATTTTTTTTTTCTTCGCATTCTTATTTATATATTTATATAATTATATACATATACATCTATAATATATATATATATATATATTTTTCAAAAAAACAAAGCACATTAAATTATATAAAAAGAATGGATTTTAAAAAGTGCATAGTAATAATCTTATACCTTTGCTTAAAAGGGGTTATCGCAAATAAAACTTTTGTATACGTTGTTTTGGATCTTCCTCCTTTTGATTCACTACTTGATAACGAATCTCGAAATCAAGATCACGCGGGTTTTCTATACTTTTTTTGCAATCAATTGTTCCATTAATTATTGTACCTAGTAGAAAATAAACGTGGATTAAACGGTGAAATCACATCCTCCCTCCAAAAAACAAATCATTAGTCTATACCTTGTTCAACTTTTATGCTATGCTCCAAGAAAAAAATGGTTTGTCTCCAATGAGTAACTTCACCTTGGGGGCCTGTGGTAAAGCTTAAAACCCCTTCAATTTTATCATCAATGTTCTGAGATGATGGAATTTCACGATCGTCACGTGTAAACCACGTGTCAAAATATCCCAAGAATCCATGAATATAACCATTTCGAGTGGACACCAAGGTAAATGGAGACGTGAAATCTAACTGGACTTTATGGATTGTATGTAGGGGCACATCCTTAACAGGCACGACATTTGTAATTATAGCCTGCGATTTCACATATTCTACTATGACCGAAGTTTTTATGGGAGATTTCATGGCCGTCATTTTAAACCCTGCAATAAAATGGGATTAGATCATAATAACATTGTTAATACTTGTATCAGAGCTTCTTAAATTTCTTAAATATGCCATGAATTTCCGTCATTAATACCGTAGACATCATTCCAAAAGTTAAAAGTGTCATTGAATAACTCTTCATCTTCAATTGCTGTTAATAAAAGACGACAATGACTGGGCGCAACTAAAATTTTTTTTTTAAAAAAAAAAAAAAAAAATTGCTTAGAACCCTGTCATTTTATAGTACTTCCTTGGTATGCACATATAACTTACGAATGCCGCCTGGTGCCAGCCATTTATCACGCGCTGCTATCACCGAGTCCAACATAGCTTCAAAGAATAAGAAATACCCCATCCACTCGGAAATTATTATATCTACTTTTTGTACAGGAAGATTCACCTCTTCGACCTTTCCATTAATTAATCTAAGTAACATCTTCAATTAATTTAAAAAAAATTATTTCAATTGATTAATTGCTTAAATGGATGCAAACTTACGTAATTATATTATCCAATTGATTTTCTTTTACAATTTTTTTAGTTCTTTCTATTATATCCGACTTTTCCACGGAGATAACTTTATAAAAAGAGATTTTATAAAAGGTTCTATTCTTCATTTAGAACGCTTTTTTTTCTTTTCTTTTTTTTTTTTAAAAGAAAAGAACATACCTTTGGACGCGCCCGCTTTTGCCGCAAACATTGATAATATACCAGTACCTAAGGAGAACATATTAAATATTATTAATAATTTATTAATTTTAACATAGATTTGGTCGCTTAACAGCAAATAATACCGCATCCGACATCCAGTACAATCTATATTGAAATTAACAACAAGAGCTATAAATATAATGTAAATGAAGGAAAAAGTTTTACCAATACGACAGAAATTTTAAAATAAGCATAAAAAGCAAACCTTGTTTTTGAAGATATCTTTATTTTCATAAATAAAGTCTCGGTAACTTTCAGTGCGAATTCGGTCTTTTAACATTTCTTCGTGAATATCTAAAGAAAAGAGAATTGATTTTCACTCTTTATTACTTAAAAGATGACAAAGACCTTTCAAGAAAAAAAATTTTAAGATGTCATACCGTTTTTTGCATAAGAGTTAAAATAATAATTTGTCCTATCTTCATAACAGCTTGATCCTTTTAAAGATTTTGTTGACCGTTCGCTACAAACAAACAAAAAAAAAAAAGGATATTAACTTGATTTACGCGTAATAATTTTGCACAATTTTAAAATATAAAAATGAATGTATCTTCTGACCTTACTAAATCGGAATAAACTTCAAAGAAGGATTCTTTGACCATACTACGATATTCGTCGAATTGTGATTCAATGGTTTTAAGCCTTACTTCGGTGTTAAAAAGTCGTTCCTCTGAAAGACGAAGCTTTTTTAAAAGTTCATGTTCTAAAGGCGTGGTAGGATCGACGTCAATACTTTGATCTTGACTTTGTGAACCCACATCTTTATCAAAATCATCATCATCATTTTCTGCATCATCAAAAGCTGTAATATGTGCAATAACAAATTAAAATCAATATTACAACTAAGTCATATTCTTTATGTATGGTACCATATAATAAGGGATCTTCTTCAAGTGTTGGCTTAAGGTAAACATCATCGTTGAGGATCTCTCGTATATTTGGTATAGTAATTTCGGATTTTTCCAAAACCTGCATAAAGATCAAATCCATTGTTAAATGTCAATTATGTTGTTTTTTTTTTCATTCTGATGTAAAAAGTTACCTGCTGGCGAATATAATTTATCAGGCGAATGCATTGATAAAAATCGAGTTCTAAAATGTAAATTCATCAGAGATCAAAAAATTTTTATAAAAGTAAGAATTCGTATTCAAAGGTTATGTACTCAATTCTGTACGCGTTTTTTGAAAATCAAATCCGTGATGACGCGAAGTATGGCCAAATAAGTTGTTCGCCAAAGGGAATAATTCATCACAAAATAAACATTTAATGTCCTGTTGATCTCCCTCTTCTTCCTCCCAATCATCCCAACGCTCATCTTTAATTCAAAGGGGAATCAGTAAATAATAATATATGATTTGACCAAATAATTATCATAGCGTATACAGTTAACTTACCATTCGGATCGTATTCTGATTCACTATATTCTGAGTCCATGTTGTTCCAACAACATTTGTATTTAAAAAATTTCGAGATAATCTGTTTCAAAAAATTTGAATCACGCTATCTCGTCGATCAGTTACACAAAGATCGCCCGATGGCGGTGTTACGTAAACAACTATTTTTGAGAAAACACTGGACATTATACTTATTTATTATCTATCAAAATGGAACAGGATTCAACTCCAAGAAAAGACTTAGTTCGAATTGACGATCAATCACTAAACAGTTCCCCAATACCAAAGCAAGAAGTTTTGGATGAGGATTCATATACAGAAGCTTTAAGCGAGATCATTAAGCGAGATTTTTTCCCTTCTCTTTTAACTCTCGAGGCACAACACGATTATGTGGACGCTTGGAATACAAATAATCCCGAGCTTATTAAGGAAGCTACTCGTAAATTAACTGAATTAACGACTCCTACGGCGAAAACACCTGGTATATTGCGTATATTGCTGCTTATTCTAAAAGTTGTCATTTACCGTTTAAATAACAATAACTCAATCAATCTTTTAGCAACACCTAAAACTGCAACCGTAGTACGTGGAGAATGGGATACACCAATATCATCTAGTGGAACAGACGTTTTTAAAAAACCATTGCCCAAAAAATACAATGCCAATTTATCCTTGGATGCATTTCAAGCAAAATACACTAGCGAAGATAATGCTTCATATCCTTGCAATATATTATATTTGCATCTCTTTATTTATTATCATTTAAATTTAATTAGCATTATCATAGTTACTTTTATTATATATTTCCTCCTTTTTATTCCTTAACCATATTTGACCTCACCTTTTCAGAAATAATGAAAAAATCTAATGAACAACAAAAAGAAAAATATAAATGGATGTATGAAAAAGATGATCAACTGCTGTTGGAAAATAACAAGGATGAGAGGAAAATGATTGAAGGGCCTGATCAGTCCAGAAATGCTGGAATTGAAACATGGAATTACAAGGTAGTTTAAATTTAATCCCTTTTTAGCTTATAAATATTCTGCTACTTTACTCTTTTTTTTTTGAAAAACAAAAATAGGATTTTTAATATATTTTTGCTTTAAGATTCGCAATTCCCTCATGTTTTATCCAGAAGGTCATGATAAAGGAGCAGTCGAAGAAAATACACGGTGCGCACCCAAGAAGATTGTTCATCATGCTACAAGGTTTGAATCTACAGAAGAAGCGGTAAATTTTTTTTTTAAAAAAAAAGAAAAGTTTTTTCTTCCCATTAAACGTACTCATTTCCGTTTATATTATTCTTTAGTCGATCACAAGTCACGCAGCAGCGACCGCAGCGGCAACAGCCGCCAGTGGTATCGATCTTGATAGTATGTTGCTACTCATTTTATTAATAGTGATTGGTATATTATTATAGATTGTTAAACAGGATATATACGTTTATTATTAGGTAGTAGTAGCGCGTCTGAAACTCCCACAGTCGGCGGTTACAGTTTCGTAACTGCTACACCTTCTCCGAACCCTTCACAAATTGACAGCTCGGAGTTAATGACTTGGGGTATGATAGAGGGTACTCCGTTATTGATTGGAGGAGATCAATCACCAGGTATGTATTTTATTCCTTTAATATACACTTCTTTTGTTGAGATTTTTCCTTTCCTAAACGAAAACCATCATTCAGATGCCGAGTGGAATATTATAATAGCTTTTAGCATGGTAATTTCGAATAGAAAGAAGTTTTAAATGGAACATTATTTAACTTTAAAGAAATAAAAAAAAAAAGAAATTTCTTTTTAATGAAATTGAATTGCAATTTTATTAAACATTTTTTGATTATATTTTAGGTCGTGCTTTTCAATTACCACCTACACCACGCAGAGAAATAATTGGTATGAATCTTTCAAGTAGTGCTTCGCGGAATTTACGCAAACGAAATCTCTCTATGAGATCACCAAGTCCATACTCTACCCAAAGTCCCCTGACAAAGTATGCGAGAATATTGTTGCTGCTTTTTGTTGTTGTTTTTGCGCGTTATTTATTCACGTCTTCAATTTATTTCTTTAAAACAGAATTGCTAGTCCAAGAGAGCGTGCTTCATTATTATCACCAGCTGCACGAAAATTATTGCGTAAATCGAATTTGCCAAAATCGGTTGGTGTGGACGTCCAACTTAGAGCTTCTTATGCTGCGTCACCAAGAAGTAGAGGTAATAATATATTGGCATTATTACATACATCATTTCGAATTTGCTTAGCTAATTTACACTTTACTTTAAAACAATTATAGTTCCCGTCACACCTTCAAAACTAGTCACGCCTACATTCAATTCATTCCCTGACAAATTTGATGTAACTCCCAAAGCAAAGTCTGATGAGCCTTCTGAAAATTCAATAAAAGACGATAAATAAGGCCAATTATAATTGTATTAGTTTGATAGGTACATGTTATATTTAGATTTATTTAGTAGTAAAAGTAGTAGAAAGCGTCAACTTTCAATTCCATTTTTTTTTTTTTTAATTACCCACTTATTGATATATACCAATGTTAAAAATAATAACTATTTAAGATTATAATTGATTCAATATATTTGCAACCATCCAATTAGATGTATTTCCTTTTTTTATACAATATTTGATGGGAAAATTAAATATAACGATCATCAAAATTAATAAATATAAATCAAAATTTTTCTATCAATTAATTAATATTACACAGATATTAAGAAAACATTTCTTCCTATTCTAATCCAATTTCTTTAAGTATTTTTGTTAAAGTTTCGGGATCACGATAACCTAGATGACCTGAAGTTAATTTAGTAATATCATAATTCTCAACTCTATTAAAATTTACGGCGTGCAATCCTGCGATATTTAAATCCAATGAATGCATTCTATATATTAATCCAAGTACAATATCATTCGTTGCATAAGCATTAACAAATCTACGATTAACTACACTTAAAGCATCTTTCCATTTGGAAGATTGTGTAGATGTAATTGGTGCTCCAATTAAAACAACTAAATAATATAAATTTATTTTAAATAAAACTGAAATTTAAGTAAAACAGGAGAAAATTTTATTCTTACCTGTGTCAATCAATCCATATTGTTGATTCTTTGCTAACTCAAGTAAACATTGCCAAATAACTAAAGCACCAAGCGAATATCCAATCTAAAATACAAGTAAATTAATTTCTCTCCCTATATTTTGATTTTTTTTAAAAAAAAAAAAGTATACAATTACCAAAACAGTTGGTCTTTTTCCTTGAACTCTTTCAATCAAGACATCTGCTAAAATTAATCCGGCTTTTTGAGCACGATCTGCACCCAAAGCCCATGGATTATCTATCATGTCTCCAGCCTTCATTAAAGCAGCCGGTATTAGCAAAGCACTTGCCAAGGTAGCAAATACTGTTTGTTGTATGGCTGAATTTGCTGCCACCTTAACAGCGGATTCTGCTATAAATCTTCGAAATGCACGTCCGAGCGATCGAAGAATTTCCGTATCAAAAGATAATGCGAATGTATCACCAAAATTCAAACTATTTTGAAAAACTGAGAGCCAAGCAGTACTTGGTTCTTCATTGTCTTCCGAGAGATACCCGGAAATAACAATATTCACCTGCGAATTACAAGACATTTTTATATATTTATATATATATATAAAAAACGAAGCTAATTTATAAAGGATACATACATGAAGTGAAGGTATGAGAGGGAGAGAATCATCTTGTGTAATCCTAGTAAAAGCAAATTCTTTAAGACCCCGAGTCCTCTTGTGCATTTTGTACCCTATGTAAATTGAAACATATACACCTAAATAAAATGAATCTAAAAAAAGAAAGTATCTTCATACATATTGACATACCAGCAAGTCCACCTCCCGCAATTCCAAATAAAGAAGTCATCAAAACAACACTAGACGCAGCTGTAACAATAATACTTGCTCCGGTTATTGCACTTATACCAGCTGCTACGAGTGGTGCAGCTTCCTTGACAAAATAAATATAACATTTTTAATATTTTTATTTTGTTGCAAAGAAAAAAAAATAAAATAAAACAAAGGAAGGAAGGATATTATTAAGTACATACTACCAACCTATCCCACCGGTTAATCCAATAGCTGTAGCACCAACGACCACACCAACTCCGGTGGCCATCCATCTCCATGCTTTCTTTCGTTTTTCATGTTTATTTAAACTTTCGGATGCGCTATTACGCAATCCTTGCATTTCATGATCCTCTTGCGAATCATTTTTTTCAGCTTCCAATTGTTGTTGTTGCAAGAAATATAAATTCTGTGCAAAAGATTTCTCCAATGATTTGACAGTATGCGAAGAAATATCTAGATTAAGGGCGAGCTTAAATAAAATTGCTCTTGCCCTGGAATCATATTCCGCTGGCATAATTGGTGGTGGCAGCGAAGAATCGGATGATGAATCATTGCCAATCGCACTTGATATTGCGTTATCTAGTTTTTCTTTTAAATTTAACATTTCCCCAGAATTATTATTATTTGCCTTTAGTTTCTTATCAACATTTTCCAAATTGGAAGGTGCAAGTCCAAGACAATTTAAAAGCATGTCGGAAATTATTTCATCCTGGATGTCTTTTTGTTTTTCATCATTTAATTGTTTTTTAAAAGAAGAAGACAATAAGTCGATTGCACATGAAATATTTCCCGCTTCATTTGGCATCTTTAATAAAACATTTTGTTCTACTATCAATGTGATTATATGAAATTAATTAAATTATGAACGATTTCATCATCAATGATAATGATCAAATTTTAATACCTTTTTCATCGATGGTAAAATGACGGAAAATACTAGCTAAAAATCTTCGCTTCCAAACTTCTTCAGCGTTATTATTTGACCATGAAGTCTCATTTACGATGTAAACACATAAAGCAGCTAAATCGAAACGCTGAGTTGAAGTCTAGAAAAGGAAAAAAAATTAACGAAATGGATAATTTAAGTAAAAAGTCGTTACGAATTTAATTACCCAGTTTTGACTGTAGGTTGGTAATTCTGACATTGGTTTAAGTTCTTTTTTTTCCATAATTGAGTCTTTATGCCACACTGTTGGTTTTTTTTTTGACAGCTGTAAGCTGTACATATGTGTGGGAAAATATTACTTTAAGGCGCTGCACAGGAATAATTTTTTTTTTTTTTTTTTTTTACAAATTCTCGATCAAAATAGTTAGGGAAATTGATCTGCAAAAATTTATCATTGTCATAATGAAACAACAATGGAATCCAGAAATGTCTAAACAAAATTTAAATTATTTAGAAAAAAAATAAAACTCATCACTATGGTCATACAAGAAATAACTATGAATCTGAAAAATTAAAGAAATATATGTAAGAATTCACTACTATATTTATTTATTGTTGTTCACATCTCCAAAGACACTTTCAAAGATCTTTTTCATTTTTTTTTGATTTCAGGGGTTGTGTAATTCATCATCAGATCAATTGGTAATACACTAGATGTAATGTTGTACAGTTTTGAAATAGGTATTACAAACTGATACACATATTATTAAAACGTAATATTAAAATTGTAAAGAACCTTTTTTGGTGCAAAAAAAAAAACCTTGGATGATCGGCTTCGGGAAAATTGTAATGTTAAAAACAATTTTGCATTATAAATAAATCACTCATTTTTTAAATTTATCTGGAGCTCTAATTTCTTTCTAGTTTCTTTAATAAACATACGATATTGAAGAAACAGTACTTTCAAGTATATTTTTGTCTAGAATTTGGTTATATATTTATACAAACAAATAATTAAAGCGAAGATATAATGTCCGCAATTTCTTCATCTACGCATTCTACCCCTTCCTCCAATACTACTACTTCAACACTCAATCAAAACGTTAAAAATAATAAAATTGAAACGAAAGATGGTTTAACTACTTCTACTCGAAACAATTCTGTCGGAACTTTTCCAGATTCACTCGGTGATAATGTAGAATTTACTACTTCTCCAGTACCCTTAACGCCCAAAGAAAATTCAACTAATCAACAACCATTTGGTAGTATTAGCAGTAACTCGAGTCAAAATGCAGATAACCTTTCCAAGTCTCATGTCATTGCACCCAGTTCTCCTAGTCAGCAGCAACAAAACTCAACTGTTTCAAATAAAAATAAAAAAACCGAATTTCCATATTTTAAAGTTGGAATTAGTGAAGATCGTAACAAGAGATATAGGAGAACTATGGAGGTAAAATGCAAGATTTACATTAGTTAAAGATAATACCATAATACTCTTTATCACATCATCAAAGACAGAAATTTTTACATCTTTTTTGATCAAAGTTTTTCTAAAGCAGGGATCCTTGTCATTGTCTCAATTAAATATGATCTTATGCCATTTCCCTCGCTAAATTTCTTTTTATAGGATGCTCACTCGTTTTTCTATGATTTTGCCGGGATTGAAGGTCAAGGATTTTTTGCTATATTCGATGGTCATGCAGGAAAACAAGCGGCCGATTGGTGTGGAAATCATTTTCATGAGGTAAAGAGCAAATCCTAATGAAGGAAAGGAAAAAAAAAAAAAAAAAGAAAGAAAGAAAGAGGGAAAAAAGAATTTACTTATTATTATTTTAACCACGAATTTTATGATTATGTGACTTTATGATATCTGGGGTATTATAGTCTCAACGATAGATAACGTAAGGCGTAAATAACGAAATTGATTTACAAAATAGTTGCTCAAAGTATAATATATAATATATATCTTCTTTGCTCATCTTTAATTGTTATTGTTGTTTTATCCTTCTTAATAAAATTTTCACAGACTTTCCAAGAAGTTCTTCTAAAAAATCCGACTCTTCCAATTTCAGAAATTTTTCACTTGACTTTTCTGCAGGCTGATAAGCAGCTCAATCAGAATGCAGGGAAGCATTCTGGATGTACAGCGATCGCTGCTTTCTTGAGATCCGAAGAAATAACGGAAGATGAAACTGCTAATGGTAAGAAACTCATTAGCAATGGCGTCGAAAAGAAACAAAAGGTATATTGAAGAATATAATTTGTCGCTATTTACATTTTCTAGTTATTACATTAAATATATTGATTATCAATTAGCGCGTATTGTATACTGCAAATGTCGGGGATGCTCGAGCCGTCCTTAGGTAATTTAAGTTATAATTTTCATCATAGTATTAAATAATTGATTCAACATTTAAAATTCTCCATGGATTTCATTTTCTTAATTAGTCGCAACGGAACAGCCATTAGATTATCCTATGATCATAAAGGAAGTGATGCACAGGAAGCAAAAAGGATCGTCGATGCTGGTGGATTTGTTATGAACAATCGTGTCAATGGTACATATTGAAATTATTCTATAAAAAAATAATAGTTTTTTTTTTTTAATTCATAAATTTAATTTATTGAATGTTTTATGAAAGGTGTATTGGCAGTGACTCGTTCATTGGGAGATAGTACAATGAAAGATTTTGTTGTAGGTAATCCTTATACCACAGAAACCGAGATAACCGAAAATGATTCATTTTTGATATTGGCATGTGATGGGGTAAGTCATTATTTTCATATTGATTTTGACCGTTTATACCTTTACATATTGTTTATTTATATTCTTTTAGTTATGGGATGTCTGTGATGATCAAGATGCGGTAAACCTTATTAAAAACATTGATGATCCACAAATAGCAAGTGCCAAATTGATTGAACATGCTTTAACAAATTTTAGTACCGATAATTTGAGTGTGATGGTAATTAGATTAATGAGGAATTAATATTTTATTTGAAACAAAAATATTATTTAATTGTAATATTACATTTTATATATATATATATATATATATATCGTGTTTGAATTTATCGTTTCTTGTGAATTATTAACTAGTTTGACTATATTAGTTAATATATTATCTTTTTATTTTATTATTATTTTATATATAATTTCATATTTACGTATGGTTTTGATATTTTATATATAATTTTTATATATATATATATTATGTAAAAAAAAAAAAAAAATAAATAAATCAATCATGATAATCGTTAAAGAAACTTTTCTTTTTTTTCTTTAATTTAAAAAAAAAAGAATTAACTTTATTATATATTTTTATATTTTATTATAAATAAAAATGAATATTATTCTAAATTATATATATAAATAAACATATATATATTTTTTTTAATATTAAATTTACTGAAAAAAAAAAAACCCCCCTTTTGTAATTTTAAACTTAAGAAACTATCCAAGATTAAATAGTAATAAAAGAGAAAAAAAAAAAAAAAAAAAAAGGAAAAATATTTTTAATTGCTAATATCATTATTTCTTTACTATTATACTTATTATCGTTATTAAGTTGTTATTCTCGGTTAAGATGATTCTGTCGTAATTATTACTTCTGTCATTTGTGGTTCTTTAACTTGTTCTTTTTCATTTGAAAATGAAACATTATCATTAATTTTAATAGATGGGACAGGTAAATTGGGTGATAATGATACTTCTGTATCTTCTTTAATATTATTATTTTCATTATTATTTTGTCGTAACGCATTTAAACCTTCATCACTATTATTAACAGTTATGACTTCTTTTATATCTACTCTTATATCACATTCACCAAGTGTATTATTATTATTTAAATCACCTGCTATGACCGTACTTCTAACACCCTCATTAAATCCATGTGTATTAATATCTTGTTTATTAACATAAGCACGTCTGCTGACCGAACTTTATTAAAAAGTAATCGTTAATATGCTTATGTTCATTTATTTTTGATTAATTTTATTTTATTTTATTTTAATAAAAAAACTACACTAACCTTGGCGACATAGGTCTACAAAGAACCGAAAGACAATTCCTAAATACATTCCTATAGTCGAACGGGTTCCTGTTATTTCTCCTTGCCATAGGAACACGTATCTAAAAATAAAAGAAAATACAAATTAAACAAACACATTTTATAAAAATTCAAATTGCTAACAATTGAAAAAAAAAATTAAATTACTTGTTCATGCGTAGTCAAATTATTGCTAATTAAATATATGTGATAACCAGTTAGTCCACCTACAGACCACATAAGAACAAAAGATAATACAATTAACAAGAAAGTGTGCAATTAGTTAAGGAGAATTTATAATTAAAAAAATTACTATTTAGATAGATTGCTCCAAATAATAATAATTATTATTAATGTAAAAAAAAAAAAAGGATATCTGACAGGTGCATCCATAATTGCATCCAGAAAATTGGAAGACTTTTTCATGAGTAGTAATAAATGCGCCAGGCAAAACCCTAAAACGTAGATGCATAAAATGGTAGCTGTTGCTATAAATGTGAAAAATGTCCTATAATTTCGTCGTCCTATACAATTATTTAACCAGATACAATGATGATCCTCATTCTCTAAAAGGGAAAATTTTTTTTTTTTCTTTTAGAAATAAAGGGGAAATTAAGAGATTTTTTTTTTCCTAAAAGATTCTCACCTACGCAATTGTCACATTGTCTACAATGACTACACCTAGGTGGTCTATAGATTTTACATGTTTCACAATATTTTAATCTAACAGTTTGTCCATTAATTCTAACTTCTTTTGGAAGTGGAAAGCTACGAGCTGGTTCAAAAACATCGATATTTGGATTATTTTGAGCATTTTCTGGATCTTCTACACATTCTGTTGGAGGTGACGGATCTAAATTTCTTGGAACTATCTATAATAAATTATGTAATATCAAATAAATTACTAAGTTATTGTTAATAGCACTGATGATAAATTATGAAAATTTCATATATTAAAAAATTAAGATGAAACCTACACCTGGATCCGACCATGAAGTTCTAAGCATGCTAGTCACAGCCAACAAAAATAAATAAACAAATATAAATACCACCGCTGGTGACACTTGATGAAAAAGGAATGGACAACTAAGTTATAATTAAGAAAAATATATTATATTATTATAAAAATAAAAAAAAATGGAAATGAAATGAAATGAAACAAAGATTTAAATATAAACTTACGTAAATCCCATAAATAGCCCAGATGGAACTACAAGGGCAGAAAAGGCAACCAAAAAAGCGGGAAAATCCCTACTAGTCATTATCCTACCACCTAAAAAAAATCGATTTCTTCCAGGCCATACTTGATATAAACGTTGACCTTTATGATCAGTCGAAGAATGCGGCGACATAATTCGAGGATATTTAATATTAAAAGTAGGTTGTTTTGTTTGAGAAGAGTTAAATTTTTTTGATGACATCTCAGTAAGTTTAGTGTTCGAGGAAGGCGTATTAGGAGAAATATCAGAATGCTTAGAATAAGCGGTAGCAGCTGCAAAATCTTTCGATGATAGATCTGAACCAGCATTGAGAGTAGCTTGGCGCATTAATTGTCTATATGATGAAGGTTCTAAAACTGGTGCCGGAATAATTGGCTCCAGAACTGAATTGATAACAGCTTGGGATAATTCTGTACTTCCACCTTCACCATTTTGTTGACGTTGTTGACGCCTTAAAAGTAAAGCACTTGGAGGTTTACTAAGTGATGTTCGATTAGTAGCGGAAGCATCTGGACTAAAAATATTATCAATCGATTGGTCGAGTGAAAGGTTATTATTATTATTGGAGGAAGTTTGTGATGAAAAGGCTGCAAGAGCAAGTGAGGAAGGTTGCTGTAAAAGAGAAACTTCATCTTCGGAGTTGAAATTCAAAAGCTGAGAATTTATTACGGAATTAAGTGTGGATCTATTATTGGTAGTAATGGATTGTGCACCAGGTGAAGGTGGAGTATTTGGTGAATTACCAACGACAGATAGTGCGGACTTTCTTCGTGATAAGGCCGTTATTGGTTTTCTTGGTGCAAAAAACTGCTTTGACGGTAAAATTCCAGACGCGTGACGCGATGCCCGCGCCTGATTATTCATATTTTAATAAAAAATATTATTTTAAACGAATAAAAGTGATTTTAAATTCTAAATCAACCACGAGAAAGAAAATTGAAAAAAAAAGAAAAAATTTCTTGCTACTTGAAACTACAACACTTTATTATCCATTACAATTGATTACAATAAATAAAATTTTTAAAAATAAAATTGGAGGGAAAGAAAATAAAATAAATTTGGATAAATTGTTCTTGTAATTAAATTATGATATTGAACAAACGCCACAGTAGTGGCTTGATATTATAAAAAAATATTGGACACAAAAATTTAAAGTGTTGCTTCACTACATGTTTTCCTTTATTTAATTAAATTTGATGTATTGTTTCCTATTTGGAACCCCTTGGCAAATAATTTTATCTGTAGTCATAAGCTGCAAATCCGAACCAAATTCGTTTAGTTCTTTAAAATATATATACATATATACAGTGGCGATCATAAATTATGCAACAAAAAAAAAAATTTCATTAAAACGAAATATTTTTTGTTAATTACGGAAATAATTAATTTTTTTTTTTATTATTTTAATTAATAATATTATAGTTTCCTAAAACTAAAATTTAAACATGAATTAATAAGTAAATTATTTTTTAAAGTATATAATTATTCGGATAATGCTGTTGCATTATTTATTTTCGTTTTTAACACAACTCAAATAACAAT